AATATATTTGGAGTGTAGAGAGAAAAATCTTCCAACCAAGTGTATCTATCTGCAAAATTTTTCTTCAAAAAGAAAGGAGAGATAAAGACACTCCCAGATAAACAAGAGCTGAGAAAATTCATCACTGCTATACATTTCTTGCCCCAAAAATGCTAAAAAAAAAAATCTTTCCAGTTGAAAGGACAATAAACAGCAATATAATAGCATATGAAAGTACAAAGCTCTGGTAAAAATATGTAGATAAATACAGAATATTGTGATACTGTGATGGTGGTGTGTAAATCATTTTAAAATACGGTATAGAAGTTAAAAATATATGTATGTAATAAATATAATTATAGCTATAGTAACCTTTTAATATATACACAATGTAAAATTGACATCACTAACAGAAAATATTGGTGGGGGTAGAAGAAGTAAAAGGGTAGAAATTTTGTATGCAATTGAGGTTAAGTTGTTGTCAGCTTAATATAGATTATTATTACTATAACATATTCTACGTAAGCCCTTAAATGTCCTCATCACAAAGACATGATTAACTTTTGTAATGATGAATGTGCTAATTATCCTGATTTGATCATCACACATTGAATACAGGTATTGATATTCAACCCTGTACCCCACAAATATGCATCATCAATTAAGTTTTAATTTTTAAAAAAGAGAAATAAAGATGTGAAAATGGGAAGATTGGAATGAACCCCATACTATTCAATTTGAATTTGAAGTGTCAATATTACTTGGAGTTTTTAAGACAGATATAGATAAATAGTTCAATAGGTGAATAGATAGGTGGATATGGATAGACAGATAGAAACACACACATAAACTGATAGATAATAGTTATAGGCATAGGCATGGGTACATTTACATGTAATAAAAGAAATTAGAAACAATGGCAGTCTAATAGTAATGAGCACATTAATGCCCAGATGCTAATTTAAAGCCATCAAGTTTATGTGTGTTTTTTATACTATGAGTAAATAATGCACATGATAAATTAATATTCAGAAACAGCATCCTAGTTACAAATGAAGAAATAATAGAATATGTTTTTGAATACATTATAAACAAGGGCTTACGTTTGCAGTTCAGTTCCGGATTCCATTTTCCATTTATGCAGGTTGATTGTTTCTCTTCTGATTTTCCATTACATTTGTAACTTATTTTGGAGCTTTGATTAAATTCATTCTCACCTGAGAGTTTTGGCTCAATTAAAATAAACCTTGATTTCTCCATTTTGCACTTTTTAAGTCTCTCTGTTTCTATAAAAAATATTTTCATGAAAAGAGTTATGAATAACAACCAATTATATAAAAACAGCTATAGAGTCAATACGATAGTGAAATTAAGATTTATGCCTATAAATTTCACCAACCAAGTTATTGCTGATCACATTGTATGTGATAGGCTTTTATGTATGAACATAAATCCTGCATCCAGTACTTGAAATATCAGATTGAATAAGAGTCATAAAGATACTTTATTCTTTGGGAACCGGAAGAGCACAAGAGGTTCACTTTTTGGATGATCTACATAATGAAAGTCATCACATGACTAAGTTTGGTCCCATATTTGAAATCTGTTTAAAGGTTCACATTCGTTTTCCTGATATACGACATCCCTATATTATTTTTAATTCACAATCTTATAACTTTAAAATAAAAACATTGTCTGTGGGAATAGAATATAAAAAGTTGCTGGTTTAAATATATTTTTTCAAGAGAGGTAACAAGAAAAATCCATCTGAGATGTACTGTGTGGAACACGAATATTTAAGCAGATCTTTTGTATGATCACAAAAAAAACCCCAAAACCACTAAAAAGTTGCTGGTTTAAATATATTTTTTCAAGAGAGGTAACAAGAAAAATCCATCTGAGACATACTGTGTGGAACACGAATATTTAAACAGATCTTTTGTATGATCACAAAAAAACCCCCCAAACCAGAAATACTTGAAATAAAAAATTGTGTGCTTTAAATCATGATCTCTTTCTCATATATATACTCTGAGAGTCTTTGAGAAACTATTTTATACTTGCACACCAGATCATCAAATAAACCAATAATAATTCCATAATAAAATTTTGCTGACTTCAGTATGAGTTAAATATGTATTATAGAAGCATCTTATATACTACATATTTCTGAAATATAATAAGCATGGGAGTCCTTTTAAAATATGTCAGTGTAGGTTTCTGATATTTACTAGTGATTTGAAAGGCAGAGTCAAGTGAGGATGGACAAAGAAAAGTCAAGTAATTGGACAGAGAACAGTAATGATTTTGCAATGTAATCTTGAACAAAAAATAGGCTAATTCAAAGCACACTAAAGACTTGAGAATTGGTCCTATTCTTAAGACTTTTTCAGAGTACTGAGGAAGACAAAACAAGATGTTCTGCAAGAGATAGTAACAGAAGGAAGATCTACAGTCAAGAGAAGTGGTGGAGGCTGTGGTAGTGTCCAAAATTAATTGGATCCTGAAAGCATTTCTTCACTGGGAGAAAACAATTGAGAAAAGTAAAAACGCTAGACTGGAGTAAGGTCTGTGATAGCTGGAAGAGGCTTATATTCAGCTGACTACAGGTGGGAGATTAATCATAGAAAAGAAAAATTGGATCAGAAAAGAATAATAATCAAAATAGGTATTTGGTATAAATTAGAATGAAAAATTGAGAGTTTTCATGCCTAATATTATCTTAGGTTTATCCCCCATATGAAATGAGGTGAAATTATCTGTAGAGACAGAAGAGGACAAAGATGAGATTAGGTTGTGAAGGACTGGCTGTACCTTTAACAGAATGTTTTTAACAAAAATGTAAGAATAAACAAGAAAATTTATTCTCATTCGACAAGCCTTATCGACTGTCTTCTTTTTGTTAGCCAGTCCTCTGGGCCTTGTGAATACACAGTACACGAAACAAGCATACAACTCTGCTGTCATGAAGCTCTGTCTTTTCCTGGGATTAATTAATGTCCAGCAATCTGATGAATAAAGGAGAATAGTCACCCAGGACTCCCTTGGAAGTCATGAGCCTGAAAAACTCTAGGAAAGAACTCAGTCTATGAGGAAAGTGAATGAGGGTTCCCAGGATCCCCCCCAGTTAGTCATCAAAGACTTGATCATCAAAAGGGCAGGATGATGCACTTGCAGAGTTAAGTCCACCAAGTTTTGTTTCCTGGCCCCACCCCTGACTGCCTCAGGTCACTGAGTTTACAGATGACTGGGAGGGCCTACGGGCCATCGGACACCCCCCACAGCACATTAACTTCTGTCTGTTGCATTTGAAATAGAATGAGAAATTATCACTGTTAGAAGCTTTGAGAGATGCAAGGTTCTTCTGAGAGAGTAGCAAGTACTTTGTCAGTTTTATTTCTTTGCTTTCCAGAGCTTGAAAGAAAAACTGCCAGATAACAACAACGATGGTATTAATGTGAAATATATTTCCTTAGAAATTAGTGCTCCTATTTTAATCGTATGACCATTTATAAGTGAAGTTTAGCTTCACATTTATAGAGATAAATAATATTAGGGACAGAGATTTATACAGTTTCAATCCTCTGTAAACACATAAAGTTTGGATTCATTATATTCAAGATTGGACAATTTCAGGAATATCTCTAAATGTCAAAAATGTGGTTGTAAGTATTGTTTTACAATAAAAATATTAAACTTTGTTTTTTTGTTTTTGTTTTTGTTTTTCTTTTCCCCCCGAAACCTCCCTCCCTCTTCCACCCCCCCCCCCCCACCCCCCCCAACCTTCCCCCCTTCTCAAAACTAAAGAAATTGTTATTTTTTTTTTTTTTTCCCCCCCAAACCTCCCCCCCTCTTCCACCCCCCCCCCCCCACCCCAACACCCACGACCGTGAAACAATTCCATTAATTTTCATTTTTTTTTTT